TCTGAGGGTCCCGGGGGGCACTGGGGGGGGGGCACTGGGGGGGTTCCTTTGGCCCCAGAGCGCGCGGGGCCGTTCCCGCCAAAACTCCCCCTCAGCCGTTCCCGCCCAAACCGGTGCGCGCGCTTCCCGCCGCCGCCAGGCCACGCCCCCGCACAAACCACGCCCCCTCAGGCTGGGCCACGCCCCTTCGCGCGTTACGGCTTTTTCCCGCTCCTGCTGGCGCTGCTTTACGGCTGTGTCAGCGCTTTACGGCCGCGCCCGGTGGCGTTGTGCAGGTGCGGGGCCCGGGGGGTCCCGGGAGGGGATTTTGGGGGTCCCGAGGGGATTTTGGGGGTCCCGAGGGGATTTTGGGGGTCCCGGGAGGGGCTGGGGAGGGGTGGGGGAGGCCGGGGGTGGTGGTCTCTCTTTAAACCCCTCCTGCCCATCGCAGGGGCCATGGCCGCGGCCGAGCGGGACCCGCCAATGTCCCCCCAGGAGGAGGAGGAGGAGGAAGAAAAGGAGGAGGAGGAGGAAGAAAAGGAAGAAGAAGAAAAGGAGGAGGGTCCCGAGGGCCCCCCCGCTGCCGAGGCCGCCCCCCCGAAGCCGGTGGTGCCGGGGGTTCTTTATTTGTCCTTCCTCCCCCCGGGGTTCGGGCCCCGCCAGGCCCGGGCGCTGCTGCGGCCTCACGGGGAGCTGGGGAGGGTCTTCCTGCAGCCCCGCGGTGAGTGCGGGGTCCTGGGGGGGTCTGGGGGGGTCCCGAGGGGGGTCTGGGGGGGTCCCGGGGGATTCTGGGGGGTCCCGAGGAGGGTCTGGGGGCTCTGGGGGGGTCTGAGGGGTCCCTGGGAGGGTTTGGGGGCTCTCGAGGGGGGTCTGGGGGGACTCGGGGGGGTCCCGAGGGGGTCTGGGGGGGTCTCGGGGGGGTCAGGGTACCCCAGCAATGCGGGCAGGGGGATTCAGGCCACCCCGAGGGGTCCTGGAGGGGAGCGGGGTGACCCCGGCCGGTTCGGGAGTTTGGGGTGGGGTCCCCCCGAGCCCGGCTGGCACCCACGGAGGGGGGGGGGCTCAGACCCCTCGGGTGGGGTCCCATCTCCCTTGGGTGGGTGGGGGTCCAGCCCGTTGGGAGGGGCCTCAGCCCCTTTGAGTAGGATCCAGCCCCTCGGGTGGGGGTCTCTCCCCTCGGGTGGGGGGTGGGGGTCTCTCCCCCGTTCCTCACCCCTCCCCGCAGGGGGCTCGGTGCGGCGGCGCCGGCAGCGCCCGGGGGGGTCTCCGGCCGCGGCGTTCTGCGAGGGTTGGGTGGAATTCCGGGACAAACGCGCGGCCAAACGCGCGGCCAAAATCCTGCACGGGGCCCCCATGGCCCCCCGGCCCCGCAGCCCCTTCCGCCACCACTGCTGGAGCGTCAAGGTGCGCCTGGGGCTGGGGAGGGGGCTCGGGGGGCTAGAATCCCTTTTGGGGGGGGGCTAGAATCTCTTTGGGGGATCCTGGACCCTTTTGGGGGGCTGGGGAGGGGGCTCGGGGGGGCTGGGATCCCTTTGGGGGGGGGGCTAGAATCTCTTTGGGGGATCCTGGACCCTTCAAGGGGGGCTGGGATCCCTTTTCGGGGGTCCCCTGACCCCGCCCCTCCCCCCCAGTACCTGCCCGGGTTCCGCTGGCCTCACCTGAGCGAGCGCCTCAGCTACGAGCGCCAGGTGCGGGCGCAGCGCCTGCGGGCCGAGGTGGCCCAGGCCAAGCGCGAGGGGGGGTTCTACGCCCGCCGCCCCCCCAAGGACCCCCCCAAAACCTCCGGGGACCCCGCCGCCCCTCCCCCCAGCTGGGGCTACGCCCAAAGACCGACGGAGGAGGAGATTTGGGGGCGCAAAGCTCGGCCCCCCCCGGCCGCGCCCCCCCAGCGGCTGCTGGAGAAGGTGTTCGGGGCGGGGAGGTGAGACCCCCACCCAAATCCGGGGGGGTCTGGGAGGGTCCCCAGGGCCCCCCCGAATTTCCTCGAGCAGCACAAAACGCTTCCTTTGTGTTTTTCTCCTTAAAACTTTTATTACTTTTAACAAAAATAATTCCTCGCGCTCTCATTTAAAGTCTGCCGAGGGGGCGGGGCCAGGGGAGGAGGCGGGGCCAAGGGAAAGGGGCGGGGCCAAGGGAAGGGGCGGGGCTATGGCTTCGGCGCGAAACTCCCTGAAGGCAGCGCGGGAGGGTGGGGGAAGGGGCGGGGCTTAAGCAGCGCAGACCACGCCCCTTTTACCATAAAAGGGCGTGGTCTGAGAAAGCAACGGGTGAAAGGCGCGCGTGGGCGGGGCCTAAATAAAGGGGCGTGGTTTGATCGGCCACGCCCCCCGTGCCCTAAACAGAACATTAAATCTCTACGGGGGGAGGGTTCTTAAAGGGGCCGCGCCCCCATTTCGGGGGGCGGTTCCAGTGTCAAAAATAGAAGCTCTGGGGGGTGGGGGAGGGGCCCCAGTATGGCACTGGGGAAATGGGAGAAGGAACAAACTGGGGGCCCCATAAACCTGATGTCCCCATAAACCTGGGGGGTGGGGGGGAAACCCCCCCCGAAAACGGGTGCTGGGGGCACCCCAAAAATCCCTGGGAAACCGAACGGGGGGAGTGGAACCAACCCGGGGACTCCCCCTCCTCAAAATGCCACCACGGGGGTCCCTCAGCCTCGCGGGGTCACTGGGGGAGAGGGGCAGGGGTCCCCAAAATCCGGGGGTGGGGTCCCCCTGAAGCCCCACAGCGGTGGCCCCCAAACCTGGGGGGCACCCCGGACCCTCCCAGGGACTCTCTGGGGGTCCAGGGGTGTCAATCCCACCCTGGGGACCCCCGCTGCCCCTCCCCCACCGCACCCTCGGGCTCCATCCCCAAATCCACTCCCCGCCCCAAAGGTGCAACGCCCCGCCCCCTCCTCCCCACCCCCACACCCCCCAATTTTAGCTCCCCCTC